CATCACTTGCATACTTACACTGCGTGCTTGCATACCCATCACTTGCGTACCCATCACTTGCATACTTACACTTGCATACTTTGACACTTGCATACTTTGCACTTGGATGCTTTCGCTCTTCCACTTACACTGTGGTGGAAGTGTCAGTGTGTAAGTGTAAGTGTCGAAGTGTCAGTGTATGTAGTGCAAATGTGGTGGAAGTGTCAGTGTGTAAGTGTAAGTGTCGAAGTGTCAGTGTTCAAGGGATTTTCCGGAAGAACCCTTCGCAATGCTTTCGGGAAAAATATATATATATATATATACTAGACGACGAGTGGCCCGAAAGCATGTTTCATCACGTAGGAAGTCAGAGTGCGAGTTATCTGTTAAGTGTGCAGTGTGAAGTGTTAAGTCGAGTGAGTTGAGGTAGTGTGTGGGTTTCTGTGCGTGTATCTATGTCCGTGTGTATATGTGTCTGCAACTGTGTGTGTTCGTACTCAACTTGTACTACCCAGTCGCCAGTTCTCATCTTCCAGCTCCCCGGATACTCCGCGTACTAAAGTTGTACTACCAAGTCATTGTACTACCAAGTCACCAGTTCTCATCTGGCCACTCCCCAGATACTCCGCGTACTAAAGTTGTACTACCAAGTCATTCTACTACCAAGTCACCAGTTCTCATCTGGCCACTCCTCAGTTACTCCGCGCACCAAAGTTGTAGTACCAAGTCGCCAGTTCTTCCAGCTCCCCAGCTACTCCGCGTACTACAGTTGTACTACAAAGTCGCCAGCGCTCATCTTCCAGCTCCACAGATACTCCGCGTACTCAAGTTGTACTACCCACTCACCAGTTCTCATCTTCCCACTCCCCAGCTGCTCTGCGTACTCAAGTTGTACTACCAAGTCGCCAGTTCTCATCTTCCAGCTCCCCAGCTACTCCGCGTACTCAAGTTGTACTACAAAGTCGCCAGTTCTCATCTTCCAGCTCCACAGATTGCTCCGCGTACTAAAGTTGTACTAGAAACTCGCCAGTTCTCAGCTTCCAGCTCCACAGCTACTCCGCGTACTAAAGTTGTACTACACAATCGCCAGTTCTCAGCTTCCAGCTCCACAGATTGCTCCGCGTACTAAAGTTGTACTACAAAGTCACCAGTTCTCAGCTTCCAGCTCCCCAGCTACTCCGCGTACTACAGTTGTACTACAAAGTCGCCAGTGCTCATCTTCCAGCTCCCCAGATACTCCGCGTACTCAAGTTGTACTACCCACTCGCCAGTTCTCATCTTCCCACTCCCCAGCTACTCCGCGTACTACAGTTGCACTACCACGTCGCCACTTCTCAGCTTCCAGCTCCCCAGCTACTCCGCGCACTACAGTTGTACTACAAAGTCACCAGTTCTCAGCTTCCAGCTCCACAGCTTGCTCCGCTGCTAACCGAATCGCACTCTCGCCTGCATTTCGCGCACTCGACACGCACGATCTCCGCAGAGGTCGCGCGGTAATTTCACAAATCGCGCTCTCGCCTGCATTTCGCGCACTCGACACGCACGATCTCCGCAGAGGGTTGCGCGGTACTTTCACAAATCGCGCTCTCGCCTGCATTTCGCGCACTCGACACGCACGATCTCCACAGAAGGTCGCGCGCACACCGGACGAATCGCGCTCTCACCTGCATTTCGCGCACTCGACACGCACGATCTCTGCAGAGGGTTGCGCGCGGACCGGACAAATCGCTCTCTCGCCTGCATTTCGCGCACTCGACACGCACGATCTTTGCAGAGGGTCGCGCGCGGACCGCACAAATCGCACTCTCGCCTGCGTTTCGCGCACTCGGCACGCACGATCTCCGCAGAGGGTTGCACTTTCGGTTGACGCTGTTCGTCCCACCCTCCGCTTTTAAGAGAGAATTTATAAAGTGGGGAAATGTTTTTTCATTAGGACATCTCCCGCGCTAGTTTTTCATACTCACACTTGCCTACTCATTGCATGCTTGCATACTCATTGCATGCTTGCATACCCATCACTTGCATACTTGCACTGCATGCTTGCATACCCATCACTTGCATACTTACACTGCGTGCTTGCATAC